TATTTTATGGAAAAAAAAACTTGGTTGTTATTTGTTAAATCAAAAAAATTGTAAAAACCACGTTAATAGATCCAATACAGTTGAAGTGAATTAATAGTGAATATTACGTGAGTTGTATGGCGACCCCCCTGCCCCTCCACTAGATAGAGTGACAACCTGGTAAGACATGCAGGAAGTCGATGGACGTAGGTGGGTCAGGACCGTGCTTTGATCAAGGAGGCCTATGTTCAGCAGTGGATTTGTGAAGGGCGCTTTTGTATGATGATGATGATGATGACGTGAGCTGTTACATAAACTCGTGTCATTTTTGAATCAAAATTGATCTAATTTAAAAATAGTCTAGTAAACCGTGTAGTGACGGTGTAAAAATATCCACTACCTCATATCGTCTAAACTGATACAGGAGATGGGCTGGGATGGATATGAGGCTGATAACAACTCTAAATTATGGAAAACTGCGGTTTCCAAACCACCAAGCGATAAAAGAATGTGAATGCAATTAAGGTAAAATTCCTCTATGAGGCACTCTTTAGGGGAGACTTATGATCAGCAGTAGACTTTCATCGGCATGGATGAATGGAAATCTAGTTTTACAATTCATCTTCCATCTTATTTTTGGCGTCTACTGGCATCGCTGATAGATTAGCACTTCTATTTATTGAGACGCGCGAACTGTATTTTCATAGAAATAACAATCTGTATTATGCTATCCGTCCTCCACAGAATGTCTATCGTCAGTAAGTTTATTCAGACGGAAAAACGGAACATAGATAAGTTTTGACATATTTAGTAGGACAAAACAAGACCTATATTTAATATTGTGAATGGCCGTTAGCGTAACATACATATATGTTACCGCTTCTCTCATATTCGCTCGCTTTAAATTTTCAATGGATGCGAGCAAACATAATTTTATCACCGCTAGTACCATTAAATTTGAGTGCTAGACACAATTATTAATAAATATACCTCCCTATAAGTTTTGAGTTTGACTGGTTAGTATAGTGGTTCTCATAAATGCGATTGTTGATTATGAGGTCCTAGGTCGGGCCAAAAAATCGGTTAGTATTTCTATCGAGAAATTCTCAGCAGCAGGAAGTTGGTGACATTTCCCCCTTGTGCCTCGGAAAGCATGTAAAGCCGTTGGTCCTGCACATGATCTCCCTCCGGACGTGTAAATTTCTCATCGAACTATAAAAGTGGATGAATAGAGAGTGCACCTGTGCGTGCGCATAATACACTCAGGCACTATAATCCTGCCATGTGCAGGTGGCTTGTCTCTCTTAAATTTACATGATGGTTAACTTATTGAATGAATATAATTTATTGTACAAAACAAACAAATATACAAGTTACAAAACGAAAGACAGATTAAATGTACAATTTGGCGGCCTTATCGCTACATAGCGATCTCTTCCAGGCAACCAAGGGTGTAAAGGAATCAACAATGAATACTAGGTAGGTAGTGCAATATAATTATACAAAATATAATATCAATACATGCGATATATAGACAATAAATGCAATAAAATAACATATAAATAACTAATACATGAAATGGTATAAATTACTGATACTTTACTTATGTGACATTATACATATAAGTTAACCATCACATAAATTTGCCTAAGCTCAGGAGCTATATATGCTTGCCGTAAATATCGCAGTATGCGAGCAATCCTAGTTAGAGGCCCACCGCCACTAATGTTATTCTTAATTGCAATATTAGGCCATTATCATATAATATCATCACATCACATGTACATTATAATCTTGACGTATCAAGATCAGGCATATCGTATCGAGTACTTGTATCTTATACTTATTTTGAACATATTCTAGCTGTATCGTGTCAAAATACGCATCCATATTTAACCATATCATGTCATAAACCTGAACGTCTACCGCAAAATATTTGCGGTGGACGCACATGTATGAAAAACTGGCTCAGCTACGAGAGCTAAGATAAACTTAGTTTTGTTTGCGGTGGACGTTCGACTTAAGGGCTGACTTGTCACATGTTCAGCGAAAAAAGAAAATATTGTTAAAAAACTTTCAAGAAGATATGAAGTATATTGCATATTAGAGTAGTACGGCACATTAACAGCTCCATAACCCTCACAGAAATGAAAAGTTCTTCAGCCCAATGGTGAAAATCCGCGTGTTAGACTGCTACTATCAGGTTAAACGCATGCTCTTTTGCCCTCTTTATATATATTTAAAAAAAAACTTTACCTTTTAAAACTTGTCTGGTTTTCTGCTATTAAGAAAAACAAAACAAGAAACCACAAAAGCCACTAACTATTAATCTCATACAAATTCTATAGAAAAATCTTAATTTGCAAGCTCATAAAAAGAGATTCAATCCATATAATTGTCTTCTAGCTTACTGCTAAAAATCGTGAAGAAACCCGCGTATTTGTGAAAATAAATATATTCCATGGTATTATGTGAAGTCTGCAACTAGAACTACGCGGCGGGTTATTGATCCTCGTGCCTCTCAGATGCCAGAAAGACCTTTGACGTATGAAGATTGTTACATTTACCTCCTTAGAAATAAGAAGAGAGCTATAACTCTTGAATGTTGCATGAGGCATTTGTTTTGATTGTTTCGAACACAAAACGTATTTTAATTCTTCGATACTTCTTAGGATCGACTTATGAAGCCGTTATGAATAAAATATTTTATTCTCCCTAGTTTTTTTAAGTTTTTAGAATTTTGTTATTCTGAAATTACTGTAATACATTGGCTTATTGAAAAGCATTGGCTTACTGAAAAGCAATTGTTTTTATTCTTAACATATGTAAACATAACCCTATCCGCCGAGAATTCACTAGCGAACAGTAGCTTTTATTTTTGTGGGCTATAATGCTATAATTTATACATAGTATATGTAGTTTATTTATGAAGACCGAACATCATAAAGACTAACGCACAAAGGAAGTACGTGGGAGTTATTTATGTCCTCAGTACATTAAAAGTTAGTTCTTATACATTTGATAATAATTTATTGATTTACGAGCTTCCATAATCTTATACATCGCTATGTTGTTCTTTTGTACTATTTTAAATTATATTTATAAACTCTGATCTTATGGTCATAAAAAGACAACCAGTTATAATTTATTTAGAAAACACGATTATTTACAAGTAATAATACAAAAGTTTCTATTTCGAATTTCATCCGCATTTTTTAAGATTTCAAATGTCGCCTAATACAGGACAAATAGTTTGATAGTTTCTTCAGTCTTATTCTCGGTAGATAGTAACTGTGTTCTGTGGTCTTAGAATATGAGTCGAATTAACAGTACCCTCAATGTTAATCGATGTAGATGTTTATGAGCCATAGCATCCACATACCACCACAGGTGGACTGTGTGCTCGTTTGTCACCCTTATACCCTTAATCTTAAATTTATCAAAACTATCCAGAAATAAAGCGCCAGTTTTGCTGTTTCAAAATAAACCAACGCCTACAGAAGTGAAGCACAGAATTGATTTTGATCGTTAGTTTTTTCACTTTGATACATTTGGGGTATCTGATGTCAATTACAAAATTTAAGGGCGGCTGTAGAGAATATTATTTTTACTTAATATTCTAATCGTCATCATCTATTGGACCTTCACGTATCATTTTCTTCTGAGAGTGTGCACAGGAATTACATACTTTAATTCTTCCCTCTCCTTTTCAACATCAGATAACCAGGCGGTTGGCGCGTCTTCATCCCTTTGGTGTCGATATTGCATGCATTACAACCAAACGGCTTTCCGTCCGAATACAATCTGGGCATCTTCAAAGTAAGAGTGACAAAGATTTTGCTAAGCTAAGAAATATCTAGGCCTTCACCGTCACTTATAATGAGTAAAAAAAAGATGTTGCAAACTTGTTCACACTACCTACACTACGTAAGTTTCTCATTTTGTGCTTTGGCGAATAATTTTTGATTATGGTTACACAATCAAACCTATTTCATATTTTTTTTAATTAATCAAAATTAAAAAGGAAAAATATATAATATAATATGGATATTTTACAAGTTGTTCTAGATAGATATAATCCCCGATTTCGATTCTTTTTTTAACGTCGGTTAAAGCTTAGTCGCACAAGTACTTACTTTTATCATATTATGTACAATAAATACTACTAGTGAGTCAACTACACACAGCGGCAACTAGACGAAGAAACGATAGCGCGCGGTATGAAAGAGAGTGGAGACCCCCCCCCTGCTTGCGATGCCTGTAGTAGTACCGGTGGGCTTTGCTTGCGTACCGGTACGCCCGTTTGGGAGTGTCACGTACACGGAATTAGTTGCAGGCGTTTGGTGTTCACCCAGCAACGTGATATTACTCGGTATTATTTTGAAATATTGGGAAAGATTGTATGACGCTTTAAGTAAAATTGAATTCCACAAACCATGTGAGTGCTTTCCATCACGATTTTTAATTGAATTATTTGTAAGGATGATAATTCATTATACCATTAAATTCAGAAACCCACCAATAAATGTCGTAAATATTTGTCGGTTGCACATATGTAACGAGACGGTTGAATAAACAGAACCAATGTATAATTTTAACCTGTTTTATTTAGTTACCCCCTCCAATATTTTAAACGGAATACTTAAAATACTGCTATATAGGTAAAATATAGTAAAATTAGGCAGGTATCTACCAGCACAAGCCTTTGTTTCCATCACGACGAATCAGGTGAAACTGCGCAGCGCAACTAGTATTGTAAAGTAGTAATTAGTTTGTATCTTTATATATAAAAATAAATTATTACGAGTAATACTGATAAAATTCATATGTTATGATATTATAATCTAAGGAAATGTTTTTGTGATAACCCTTGCATATTTTTAGCGACTTAACGTCGAGATAGCCTTATATGTATTTTGATCTATGACAAAGAAGTTGACCCACTATTAGTTAGTATTTATTACACATATGCTTTTTTGCTGTGAATTGCTGATATGACACGTATGTTTCTCTCTTTGCAGAACAGATCGCTGCCTCCGTCAAACATCCCGGCTGCCTTATTGTATACGCCGCCGGAACCTCTCGAGGTATTTACATATTTTTATTAACTCGCTGCTCAACAGTATCATAAATAAAACGACCCAGTTTCACAATACAGTAACAGGCTACAAACGTTCTACTATTGGAATGTAGTCGTATCTATATTAACTATACTACTCCAGTATTATGTGCACTTAATTTATATTTATTTGACCAACATTAATATTAAATAATAGTCATCTTTTGTCAACATATAGTGTTTCACTTCTCTAATACGATTGAGGAAGATTCTTATAACCTAATTCAGGAGGAGATGACCGCTTTTATATTATATTCTCGAAATACACTCATGGAATATTTAGCGGAAGTATAGAAAGAGGTAATCAATCAATTAATGAAGTCCTTATTTGCAAATACGGGTATCAACAAAGGTGTTAAACAATACGTTCTTATTCTGTACTGGCCATTTATATCTATGCCAGCTATTTATAGCTCTTTATATACTCATGTAATTAAAAAGAGAATGAAAGCTTGCTTTTACTTCCGAGTGTTATTTTCCGTTTCGGTTATGTTAATTATCTGTTATAATAATGTATTTAATTTTAGTTTTTGATGTTTTCGTCCAAACTTTATTGTTGTCGTATTACGTAATCATCACTTATTATACTTAAGTGATAATGTCAAATTTCGGCGTAGGTCAAATCTCGAGAGCTATAATTATTATTGAAAATGGTTACATTTACAATCAAGTGGTTCAAACATACGAGTTTTCTGGTCAGCATTTTTTTGCAATGTTAAACGATAGAGTTGGGAGAATATACGAGACTTAAGGGCGTAGGGCGTAAGATCGCAAGAAAGTAACAACAACGGAGATTGACAGATTTATTGTAAGCTGTGTTCAATAAATGTTACTTCGATTTTGTCTGAGGTAAAAACTAAAGAATCTAACACAAAAAACTCGTATTCACAAGCATTACTTTGAGGTCTCACAGTGCGCACAGGGTACGGAAAACTGAATCATAACACATGAGGGGGAAAAGGCACTATGCGTTCATTAAAAAGAACGCACAGTAAACGTAGCAATCTATCTGCTTTACGCTACGCATGGTGCGACAAATCAACACAAATTTCATTAAAAAGCTTTGATTTATTGATTTTCTAAATGATTTGAATTAAATTCTTGTTATATTTTCTTCTGATTTGTTCTTTTTGAAATTCTTCTTCTTTTGAAATTATACTTCTAATTTGGTGGATTACAGGAGCAAGGAAGGAATTATATCCTTGAGAGAATAAACCTACAAAGAATGATTAACTCAAAAAACGTAATATGTGACTTTCAAAATCCTTTCGATTATTACTGTACCGATGATTTTGAAAGTCTCTTTAGATTTTATAAATATATCATTATAATTCGAACACGGGCAAGGAATATATAAATAATTATGCACATATTATTATTATTACATATCACTACGTTTTTGACAGCCTCGTTGGTCTAGTGGTTGTAAACGCGATTTCTGACAACGAGGTTCTGGGTTCGGATTCCGGCAATATCTGTTATTGGGTTTTTCTGTCAAGAACTTCTCAGTAGCAGGTAGCAGCCCGGAGTCAGGAATTTGGCGGTGTTTCATTCACCCCCATGCCTCGGAAAGCACGTTAAGCCGTTGTCCCTACGCCCGAGCTCATTTCGGTCGGGTCGGCATCCACGACTTTTTCTGCTACTAGGGTGGCGCCACTAGAAAGTGAGGTATAATATTTGACAGAATTCATAGTGGGGGAAGTTAATTTGTTCGGAAAATGTAAAAGTTATTGTTTCTTTTTGTACTATTAGCTATATTTTATATTAATAACATTATAAATAAATAAACCAAACCACAGATATTCATAAAAGTAGAAAAATTAAAAAAACCGGACAAGTGCGAGTTGGACTCGCGCACCGAGGGTTCCGAACAAATTTGTAGGTATATAAGTATAAAATTATTAAAAATATTTTTATTATATGATGTAACTAAAAATTCATGCTTTTCGCAATTTTTCCTTTATTTGTGCTATAAAACGTTGCTTCGTACCAAATTTTAAGATTCTAAGTTCACGGGAAGTACCTTGTAGGTTTTGATTCTCTTGCGAATGTCGAAAATTTGCGGCATAAATGGCTGTATCTTTTGATTGAGTTGATTTTTTCACAGCTCCAAGAGACAGTAGATTTGAGTATTTGGTATGAATTTCAACTTGATACCTCCACGCGCTCCTGACTAAAAGGGTCTTGACAGACAGACAGACGGACAACAAAGTGATCCTATAAGGCTTCCGTTTTTTCCTTTTGGGGTACGGAACCCTAAAAAGGTTATAATTGTGCAAAAAATTTAAGAGCAAACCACTAACGCGTTGTTTTGTGTATTAATATAATTCTCTAAAAACTGATAAACTTTTATTTTTTAACTTTACCTCAGTGTCAACTAGCGACATCTAGTGAGCAGAAAATTATTAGCCCTCATTACCGTCCCATCGGACTGTGAGAGTGAGGGAATAGAGAGTGCACCTGTGCTTGCGCATACACTTGGGCACTATAATCCTCTCCTGCTCAGATGCCTAGCCTCTCTAACTGAAATTCACTCTGGAGGATATTATTATTACTATCACTACGTTTTAAAACGGGTTTTGAAGAGAACATTCAATCACACAATGACAATCTTGTTTTGACCATTTGATGTTTGTTTATCCGTTAGTCAACTCGAAAAGTCGCATCGCAAAGTTAATCAATCACAGCGCCCCATTTAATGCTATGTGCGCACAAGAAAGGTTCTTTTGAGTTTTGTTCATGGAATTAATTACTTGCCATGCCGAATATACTCCATCCATCAGAAGAAGACTTAAGGGTGCTGGAATACTTGTCTGCCTGAGGACAATTAGGTACATAGTACACCGAGTAGCTCCGTCCAATTTTGTTCACTCACACCAAGGCTGACATAATGACGCTTGACGAGTCCTAATTTTGTCCTAAACCAGATTTTGAAATGACCAAATTATGAACTACCTGGAGAATGATATGATCAGTGTAATATTTTAATGATTTTCTCCATTACAATGATAGTTCGGAGAAGCTTGTGTATGAAAAACGGGTTTTTAACTGCGGCAAGTTATGTAAAAAATATTTTAAAACAGATTGTAATTAACGACTTTTGACCTATTAATTGGAGATTACGAGTATTTTCTTTTATTGCATAATAATGCTTGGCCCTACACAGCAGCTATTGTTAAGAATCTAATTTTAATCAAATGAAACCTAACGTAATAACATATCGATAATTGTAACATTCTGTATATAACACACTCAAGTAGCAACAGCCAGCCGGCCGCCTGCGCCGAGCCGCTACCTATAGCCGGTTCCTTAATGTCCGCTTCTGTGTAAACCATAACTGCTAATATTGTATTTTGATGTTCTTATAAAGTAAATATATGTGTAATGTAAACTAATCTCAACAGATTGCTCAAAAGTGTCTCAACATCCAGACAAACCCGTAAGGGTTTTTTTTTTTGATGTTTTTATGTTTATATCGAGTTTTAATTTTTTATTAAATAAAAAAAGAATATCATACAAAGTTGAAACCAAAGTTTTTTAGTGGTCAGTCCGTTCGTCAGACTTAAACCCTATAAAGCATGTTTGAGATAAAAGACAAGATAGACAAAGTAATCCAGTAGGTACCAGCTATCATTAGAGATCATAAAAATACATTTTTTAAATAATTGAATTTCAAATCCGATTCAAGACACTTTTTATTATGCACTAAACATTATGCGCACAAAAAAAAATATTTAAAAAATCTGTCGTTTGAACAAATTGAAAATTTCTCTATAAAAGTTCTTTTTTTAAATTAGTTTTGTTTTGTTGAACAATTTCAATTTTACTAATTAATTTTAATCAATCCTGTAATAAACACGATAATCGACTTTATGCTAACTTGCTCTTTTTTTCTTCTAAATATGTCCATAAGTGTATATATTATACTATCCTTATTCTATTCTATTATATTCTAAATCAATTTCAGTATTTGTCATCGTTATTACACAACTGCTCCAATCATAATTTAAATCTATATCCAGTGACGAGCAGGGAATGTAAAATAAATGTGAGTTTGGCTTAAAAAACTACAATACACAGAAACTGAACTTCTTCTTTAATGATAAATTTATCTAGGTATTGGATATTTGGATTAAAAATCATACACACATACGCACATATCCATGCAATCACGCTCACACACACACACACACACACACACGCGCGCGCGCGCGCGCACGCACGCACGCACACAAAATACATACATACACTCACACATTGAAATTCATTTTTGTGACTACACGTATATATATATATATATATATATATATATATATATATATATATATATATATACATACATAATACATACATAAACACTCACGCCTGTCACCCAGAGGGGTAGGCAGAGACTACGGACTTCCATTTGGCGCGATCCTGACAGACCTCTCTCGCCTCTTTTACATCCATATATCTACGCATACACGCTCGTCGGTTAAGGGTACTCCTAATCTCGCCCATTTTTAATGTATCGCCGATTTGGTCGATAAACCTTCGTCTAGGGCGTCCATTCCCGACCCTGCCGTTCACTTCTGCAACATAAATTTGCTTAGTCACTCCTTCCTCGTTCATTCTTTCTACATGACCAAACCACCGAAGCATTCCTTTCTTAATCCTTGTCACAACGTCATCTTGCAAACCACACTTTTCTCTTATCACACTATTTTTCACCCTGTCATTCAGATTCAGCCCTAGCATACTCCTTAAGGAACGCATTTCTACAGCATTTATTCTACTCTCATGCTTCTTCTGCCAGACCCAACTTTCACTACCATACATTAAAGTAGGGACTAACACAGCATTATGAATTGCCATACGTGCCTTAGTTGACACATTTTGACTCCTCATAATAGCGTGTAGAGCCCCATTCACTCTATTTCCTGCGTTCACTCGTCGTTCTATATCCTTATCATATCTACCATCCCTGCT